AACCTTGGAATATTCTTGCAAGTATTTACTGTGAATCTTCTTCCTAACTTTTGCCAAAGAGGTCTGCTGCCATTTCCAGGGTAAGTGTGCCCTGGAGTAAAGGTGATGCCCAGAGATTTGGGAAATCATTGCAGACTGGGTCTGATCCAACACACAACAAGTAAGTTAACATTAGAGCTAAGATATGAACTCAGTATAATTTTTTAGAAAACAATATTTTTTTCTACTTTCCTGATAATAATGATCATCTGGGGCACTTGTTAAATATACCAACTCTTGAGCCTCACCCAGACTCTGCTAAATCAGAATTGCCAGAGGAAGGACTTGGTAATGTATGTGTTTAACAAGTGCCTGGGTGATTCTTATCATCACAGAAGTTCAGGACACTTCTGGAACCCTTTCACTTTGGGAATTAGAACAATAAACGTTGGAGAGAGTGTGGAGAAAAGGGAAATCTCCTACACTGTTGGTGGGAATGTTAGTTTGCTGCAGCCATATGAAGATTCCTCAAAAAACTAAAAATAGACTTACTATATGATCCAGTAATCCCACTCCTGGGCGTATATCCAGAGGGAACTCTAATTTGAAAAGATACATGCACCCCAATGTTCACATCAGCATTATTTACAATCGCCAAGACATGGAAGTAACCTAAATGTCCATCGACAGATGATTGGATAAAGAAGATGTGGTACATTTATATAATGGAATACTACTCAGCCACAAAAAAGAATACGGTAACACCATTTACAGCAACATGGATGTTCCTGGAGAATGTCATTCTAAGTGAAGTAAGCCAGAAAGAGAAAGAAAAATACCATAATGATATCACCCATATGTGGAATCTTAAAAAAGAACAAAAGAGGACACTAATGAACTCATCTAAAGAACAGAAACAGACTTGCAGAAATGGTAAACAATTTTATGGTTACTGGGGGAAAGAGGGTGGGAAAGGATAAATTTGGGAGTTTGAGATTTGCAAATGTTAACCACTACATATAAAAATGGATTTAAAAAACTAAATTTCTTCTTATAGAACAGGGAACTGTATTTAATATCTTGTAATAATCTTTAATGAAAAAGAATATGAAAACAAATATATGTATAGATGTGTATGACTGGGACATTGTGCTGTGTACCAGAAATTCACTATAACCATAACTGACTATATTTCAATTAAAAATAAGTCTTAAAAAGTTCAGGGATCTAATGACCATGGAATTCAAGCCTCCAGCCAGCAATGCCAGCTTTTAGTCCTTGCTATTGCTGGGGTGACAACACTCCATCTGGCTGCCAGTAGCTCCAGTAGTCAACCTCTTCCAGCTGCGGGGAAGGCCGTGGGGCAGTGATTAGGAGTAGAGAGTGGCTTCAGACAGCTTCATTGAAGGCAAGTCTGAAAGCACAGTGTCTTAAGGAATGTAGGTGTCTATCAGTGCTATATAGGTTGCTCTTTTAGGAAAAGACCTAAAGGAATTTCTTTTGCCCAGGCTATGATTGCTCTTTTTCAAAGGTGATAACCTAAGGAATAAAATGAGATTATTAAACCATCCAGAGCATCACCCTGAATTATCTTAAGAAGTGTGTGTGTTTGTATGTGTTACAATGACTAATGAAGTAATTGATGATTGAAGAAATATGGTAGGCTACAAACTCATCCTGGAACACAAAAACATCAAGTGATAAAGAATCTCTTCTTAGCAAAATCCCTTCAAAAAACTTTCTGGTCTTTACATAGATTCAAGAAAGTATAAGTGATACATTATTGGCAATTTTTTCAGATGTAAGTGATATATTATTGGCAATTCACTATTAACAACATTCCTTTCAACTTCCAAATTTCTTTTCTTTCACAGGACAAGGGTTTTGAGATATACATACACTTCCCAACAACCCTGGGACTTACAAATTCTTCCAGCTCTCTCTTGGATGTGACATTGAATTCCTCCCTTCCCAGTAATTTTGGGCTAAATTATTAGGGTTCACGGAGCTGACAGTCTTTCATCTTGATATTCACCAGAGGAATAGAAGAGTTGTTTAAGGAGAAAATCGAGTGCCCGACAGCCTTGCAGAGAAAGGGAATTCAAGCTCTTGGAAGTTGATGTTTTAAGCGGACAGACCACCCAGGAGATGTTGCTTATTAAAATGACATCAAATGTAAGAGTTTACAAAACCCTTGGGAGCTGAGCTTAGCAATGCAGAAGTCACCCCAGGGCTGGCGAGGATGGAGCAGTATGGAGAGGCACTCAGAGGTTATTAAGCAAATAGAACACTGGATGA